CAAGGGCCCAATGGGTTTTGGAGTGGTTGGTACAAAGGTCACCCCCCTCCAACCCATTGACCGAGCACCCATCGAATCGGATGCTTGTTTTCTCAGCTGTGCACTTAGCGCAATGATCTTCTTCAGGACCTGGCCGGAGAAAATGCTGTCAAGTCGGTTGCTGGCAGCTGCCAGTTGCGGGTGAAAGACCTCTCATACTTCAAAGCAAAAGGTCACAGAGCTGTGAGCCTTGTTCTGTGTGATAGTGATAATCAAGAACTCTAAGGTGATGATATGTGATAATATGGGTCAGGTACAAACTCTAAGGTTGAAGCTTTATCCTTATCCGCCTTATCCTTACCCAAAGATTCACTTCCAGCATGCTGAAACACATAGCGCGGGGACCTCGTGCTTGGTTTTGGGTGGATCGTCGCCAAAACGATCTAGTTCATGGACTGGTGGGCTCGACCGAAAACCTTTTCTCCTTCATGGCTTTGGAAGATCCATCTTGAAGTGGTCTCAACTCGCTTGAAACATATGAGTCAGTGGCTTCAGAATCATCCCAAAGGTTGAAAAACAAACATATATCTGAAATCACCACCCAAAAAGTCCTTTGGACAACTCTGTTTGCTGAAGCCCAATCCTGGAGCCCAATACTAGATCGTCAAACTTGATCGTCAAAGCTTCCGAGTGGGACGCTCAGTACCTCACCTGGTCCAATAACTTCGTCTCAGTGCCAAAGGCGTCCGCGCCATCCCGGTCGTCGTCGTCCTGGCAGGTTCCCTGAAGAGTCGTTGGTAGCCAGTGGTAGGAGACTTCACGGGGTGAGAGAGGCTTCGTTTACAGTTTACACCTTTTTGTCGGTTCTTTTGTTGACTGTTTGCATCTTGGGTTTACTATATAGGAGGTTGGACCATCGTTCGAAAGGTGCTCTGGTCGGAGCAGGTCTGGCTGCAACTCGAGAACCGAGCTTCTTGCAAGCTTGGCGAAGAATCAGGTGCCCTCCAAATTCACTTGCACAAGGAAAACCAGAAAATTAGACTGCAATCTCTGACTCATGGGTCCCGTGTATATTTTCTGAGCTGCATCCATCTGTGAAGCAAAGCGCATCAAAGCTGGCGGCAAAGGTTTGATTGATGAGAATATGACCAGTTGCTGCCCCAAGAAAGGGAGCAGCTCGGCAAACTGTGCATTGTGTCGTGCGGGTTAAGCAAATGTACAACTCAACGCAACCCACCTTCTGAATGGCACCACATCAACTCTCCAAAAAAAGACACAAAAGGATACAAAAGGACATCTTGCAGAAGAGTTGGGAGCACCCCCGAACATCCTTTAGACCTCATCGCGCCGGCCTCCGAAGCGGCCACGGACTTGGTCCCCAGCGCCGCCATCTGGGCCCAAGGCGTTGGGGAGCGGGAGGGCCGAACGGGGGGGGCGCGCGGGGTCCAAGGGGGGCGGGTGGTGGAGAGGTGGTGGTTCACTGGTTTATCTGGGAGAGGTGGACAGGTGGGTGAATCTTCTCCAACTGAAAGTTAGGTTCCAGGGGTTCACCAGTTGGGGCATCGGTCCTAGACTCACAGACTCAGTGCTCAGGGCCAGTCACCCACATCGGTCCTCGTTCCTGAGACCCTGACCGACTTGAAAATGTTGGCGGCCATATGATGGACGTGATCCAGCAGCTGCCTCGCTACGTGATCCAGCGATCGTGCCTTTTTTTCGCTGAGACCACGGGGGTTGCGCACATGCAGCACAATCGTTTGCCCCATATCCTATGCCCAACTCGTTTAGAAAGTAATCTATATAAGACATATATATATATATATTATATATGTATATATGTTATTCTCCTTGTATAGATCCTGTAGAAGAAAGAAGACTCCTCAAGTTACTACTCACTAAAGCCATCATCCACTCCGACAGACTGGAAGGTAAGGAACAGGCTGTGGCTGGAAAACATGGCAACTCATGTTGCAGGTGAGAATGTGGATGGGCTGCAAGGTGGAATCATCAGAGTCATCAGAGGTCATAGCTCCAGCCAGCCAACCGACCACACAAACTCAGCTTCCCGTGGACAAAAAAGCCACAGCCATAAGAAGAATGCAAAACCGCAATGCTTGGTGAGAAAATGATAGAAAAGGTGTGTACTGTGCCTCAACATTGAGTCTATCCTGGATTGGCGCCTGGGCTCAGTGGATGATATGGAACACCCAATACAGGGATTACTCGTCTTCAGGGACGAACCCATCTTCCAAATTGGACGACGAGCTCTCAAATCCTCCCAACGTGCGGAGTGGACCACATCTCCCCCGCCCCATCCAACCCCCCACTCCCACTCCACAACACTTCTTTGGGTGGCCGACTCTAACGGTGTGAGCACAATGTGCGACACTGTGTTGGAGAGGAAGAGGGCCGACAGGACCATTCTGGCAGAAAGAAGGCACGAGATCTTGGAAACAGGGCTTGACCCTGGCATCTCTTCAGCCATGGAGATCTTGACAGGGCTTGACAGGGCTCCGTCCCACATCTCGGGCTCCGTCCGGTCACCCTGATGGTCACCGATGGTCACCATCTGTCAACCAGAAATCGACCTGTCAACCTGGGTGACTTCCTGTTACCAACATGTGGAACAAAAAAACAAGCCTTCTAGATGCTGGATCCGCCCCAGATCCGATCCTTTCCCACGAAAGAAGAACTTCACTGAAGCATCCCAAGCACTTTTTTTGCTTAGCTCTGGCAACTTGGAGCAACAAAGCCAAATAGTATATAAAGGGGCATGGGAACAACAAGCCCGGCAGCTTCTTATTTTAACCGCTAAGTTACTCAGCATTGCCTTGAAATTCGTTCGACAGTCCCATGGCCCATGTTTGCTAAGATTTGTCTCAAGTCTGCAGGTATCAAAGGTGCACCGGTTGCTGTTGTTGTTTCAACAGTTGGGATGGCTCAAAACAAGAGTTGCCAACTTCGCATCCCTGTCTCACATCTCAAACAAACGATCCTTCATCCCTACTACTCTTCTGTGGCCAAACCCATATCCTGTGACCCGTATGAATATCTGAAGTCGAAGGAGAAAATCGATGAACATCTTTGGGCTCCTAAGAGATCTGATGCGTTTTTGATGAAGTATATTGAAGTAGTAGCAAGAAGCTATTAGGTTGGAGGCCATCGCTACTAGCAACAAGAAGCTGGATGCTTGTGTGATGCCGTGCGCCGAAGCGAGCCAGGCGCTGCAACACCATGATCGTCACCTGGGCGCGTGGCGGCAAAATGTTCAGGCAATTTCTGGGGACTTGCTATGGGATCTGAAGTTGACTAAACCAAAGTCACTGAGAAGTACGGCTGGCTTAAGCCAACCTACGTTCCTCGTTCAAAAGGAAATGCCGTACGCCAAACATGACTTACACCTGCTAGCCCGTACTGCTTGTTCGGTGCAAATTACTGGTGGGGAACTGCCGAAAACGCATCTCCAGCGTAGGGCATGTCTTCTAGTCAAGAAGGTTCCTTTTTGAGGGATTTGGCACTGTAACTTCCAGCAGCCGAAGGCAGCACGTCTTGTTCGGTGTGAAAAAATTGTGCCTCGTGCTTAGAGTATTCAAGCAAAGTCTCCCCAAGATGCTCCTCAGACTTTCAGCCTTGAAATGAAGACTTAGCACCTTGAACCCACCCCACCCTGCCCCTATGATTCTGAGGCACCATGAGAAGACAGTTCAGGACAGCATCCACCTGCGACACAGAAAAAGAAAAAACATGCAAATTTAGGTGCGAGCAACCTCGGTCTGGGATAGAGAGAGGCTACACAAAGAACGGGTCCTCTTGCAGTTGGCCACCTTGCTAGTGGGTCCACGAGTCCACTCTGCTAAAGACACAGCTCGCGCTCCCCTTCCCTCTTTTTGGAGCCAAGCAGAGGAGGAACTGCAGAGTTTCACCACCTCGCCCCTCTAATCCCCGAGCTTCAAAGGGCTCAGGACGTTCTAAGAACCAATTCCTGTCCCAACAAAGGACCCGAACCAGAAGGGCGTCTGGTCCGTTGTTTCTCTTCCGGGCCGCGTCCGGTCCAACCTGCTGAGGGGACGTGAAGTTGAAGAAGGCCGTGGTTTGCCCCGCCTGGCGAAGGGTCTTTGGGTCGGCTGTTTTGCCGCATCCACTGGCTGGGATTCCTCGGGCTGAATCAAGCTGAGACCGTGGTCAGAGGGAGCGACCGGAAAAGAAAAGCCGACTGAGCTGCATCTCCCAGTGCAGCTGGCTGGCCCCGGAGCTGCTACGAGCATCACAAGCGACTCCGGTTTGGCCACCCATTCCTGACTGAATCAGGCCCTTCTCAATTTGACGGACTGACTGGCCAACCACGTGAGTGAAACCCAACACCCCCGCTTTTTCCCTGAGCAAGCCTCATCTACCAAAGCAGGGCTTCGCTACTTGAGGAAGTTTTTTGGGCCTGGTCTCCACCAACCACCCTTTACGTCCCTTTGCTATTTAGGGGGAATTCTTTTTCATCCACCCCAAGAGCGGCTCCTTGGCTACCCAGGTCGACCCCACTGGATCTTCTCCCAGGGACCTGCCCCGTCTCCACCAGGTCAACGTGTTTGGTGCGGCGCCTGTAGCTGTATGCTGGCGCGTGGCCTGGCAGGTGCTTCACCCAAGGATCGCGTCACCACCTGGGCGGTGGTCGATGTGGGTCGGTGGGACGACGACGACATCCCACGGCTCCCAGGACGGAGCTTCAGGTGGTTGACCTGAACCAGGTGGGGAGATGGTCAGTTTGCTGGAGTGCTGGCTGCTGGAGTGCCAGTGGAGTGCGTTCTGACAGGTTTCGAGAGTTTGGGAGCTTTCAATGGAAGCATCTTTGCGGCATCAAAGGAAACATGGGAACACTTTGCTGGCTTTGAAGCGCTTGAACATTGGCCTTTACCCAGGTCGGGGCGGCTTCAAAGTGAAGCTTGTTGCTGCCAATTTGTCCATGTGCAACCATTTCCTTCGAGATGTGTCTCAAGCTGCGCCCACCCAATCACTGTGCACTAGGCCCTATAGGCTGTCGGTGGTCAATCTGTACTTCGGCCCCATGCCCGCCATCCCAACCCACTGGTCGGTTCCCGGTGGGAAGATCTCCCACATGCCCGCCACATGTACTGTGCTTCCCCCAACGGTCCCGTTCTGGTAGTCGATGGAAGCCTCAAGTGCACGCGCGTCCCGTTTGGTCTCAAAAACAGGTCACCTTTAGGTGGAGCAAAAGAGCCCTGCCAGGCCCAACGACGGGCACATCGGTGGCGTTTGGATGCCTGCAAGGATGCCTTTGACACATGTTTAAACACACCCTTTCACATCCAGAAACCACTGGTTTTGTTCACTTCGGCACGCTCCCAGATTGTCAGTGAGATTGACCAAACACCGCATCTGAGGATCCACTTTGTGGTTCTTTTTTGCCCTCCAAAGGTTGAGTGTGAAACTGGAGGTCATCTTCTCCACCACCAGCGACTGACCGGGTGACGACGGCGGTGGTTGAGGATGACAACTGGTCGGTTCCTTCCCTTTAGGACACAACCAGGAGAAGCAACGCCTTGACTAGGCCGCCAAGCGAAAAAAAAAAAAAAAAAAAAACATCCAAATCACCTAGCCATGCCCTTTTCCATGCAGCTGCATCTCCTCTCTCTCTCACGAAGAAGAAAGGAAGGAGATTTCCATAGATTTCTTCCTTCAAATCAGCTGAGGAAGTCACTTGGAAGGGGAAGTAGTTGGAGGATTGGTAGAAGAGCGTGAAGTTCCCCAGGACCTGGCCGCTCGTTCGGAACGCCCACGTCGCGTTCGGATGAGGTACAACATGAGGAGATCACTGCACCCGTCTTGCATCGAAGATCGCCTGATCCAAGTGCGTTCAAAGAAGCCAACAGGACCTCTCCGAACATCCACCCCCATCCTGCGGCTGCCTTCTTTTGCGCAAGGTCGGCAGCTTGCTCTCTTGCTTGATGCACCATCTCAGAAAGCATGCTACTTCATACCGCCCGAACCCCCACGGAACATGATGGAACATGATCCCATTGAAAGAAAACAAAGACCCCCTTCCCAGACGAGGTCCACTCTCCTCCTTTTCCCGCACTATATACACGCAGCTCGCAGCTCGCTCGTCAGCGGATGGTCGGGCAGGCTTGGGCTGCGCTCCCCGCCCGCCTCTTCGAGGTACTGGGGCTCCACCGAGGCAGTATCACCTCTCCACGTGGTCGCAGCAAGCGGTCGCACCCGCGACCGGTGAAACAGCGACCGTCGCGGATCCGATCGCTCCGTTCGTAAGGCCAGGAGCCCCGTTCGGTAGCGAACATTGGGAGCCTATGATGTGTTTGGGTCACCCATTGTGTGCGTTTCTTTAATGGGGAATTGTATGGAATTGTTCTTGGCCTTTTTGGATCTTTTTGGAACATACTGCCAGCACACATTTTGGCCAGCAGATGCAAGCGGAATCCATCTTCCCGTAATCTCCATTCGCCTTTCTGCCTTCCTTATCCCACACAAAGGCAACCCGTCCACCCGTGTCAACCTCCTGGAGCAGAGGAAACCCCTCAACATGTAAACATTCAGCATTGCTTCAGGAAATCATTCCACGCGCATGTCTGGGGCTCGCTTTTGCGAGGGGATCATGGCACGCTGGGACGACCAATCAAAGGCTAGAACTTGGAAATAATTCGATTTCCTCATCAAAAGCCTATCTAGTTTCTAGCTTTAGGAGCAGTTCAGGTCCACGAGTCCTTTATCAGGTCGAGAACCAAGAAGCAAAGGTGCTTATGTTGTCCCAGGATGAGACGTAATCCCTCCCCCTCCTAACCAAACAGCAACAAGGCCTCCAAAAAGACACCCACATTCAGAATTCATCCCCATCTTCGACTCAGGCCCTGACAGGCCCCCTTCTATCTGCCATGCAGAACCGGGGCCACAACTGATCATTTGCACCCACATCGTCATTGAATAGTCATTCTCCGGAAAGGTTGCCTAGGCAAACAGCAAACCCCGAGCTGCACGCACTGCACTCCGCGTGCTGCCGCTGCACGCGCCAAGTCGAATTCTTACTCGAACTGGGCCGCTTGCCAACGAGAAGAGCGGCAAAACCAGGACCATCAGAATGATTAGCAGCGACCTCGGTCATCCCAAAAACGGTCCCCGCGACGAGGAAACCGACGCGACGTCGGACTCGAAGGAACGACGTTCCTCATCCGAAAGGGCGACGAGCCCGTTGGATCCGTGAAAAGGCGCCCGGCGAGGACCGGCGAGGACCGGCGACTCCGAAGCCGCGGAACGGCCGCCCCCCCCCCCCGGCGCCGTCGTCCCGAAGGACGTCCGGCCAAGCCCAACGCCCGGCGTTGGAGTACCCGCGCGGAAGCCGCGCGGAACCTGCGTCCGCCCGGCATGGTGAGATCGGCTTCTTCCACGCGAAATTCGCATTTTTGGGGCGCCGCACACGCGCATGGAGAGTGCCACGTTCAGCGTGGCTGAGATGACCTGCGAATGTGGCAGAGCTAGCTGGGTGGGACTTAGCTGGCTGTGTCCAATGGAGAAGTGATACAGCCAGTGAAGAGCTAGGCTATGTGGGAAGCGTTGCGGATGTGCGCTCAGAAGGTGTCAAGTCGTTTTCAAAAACTTCTGGTAATATACATATTACATATATAGTAGATGGCAAATAGAATGCGGAATTGTCTAATCTATATAAGGCAAAATATGTAGAGGAACTTCTGAAACTGACCTGTGGAAGTCCAACCTCTGACAAAGAGGTTCTTTCATCCACCTGCTGAGTGGGGATGAGAAATACATAATTTGGTCAGACCGTTTTGAAAGTCATGTGGGTGGTGAGGAATTCCCTTGTGTTCTACATGCTAATCAAAAGGCCCCCTCTGGACAAAAGTCAATTCGGCATGTTCAATCTTCTCCCAGTCTTCATCATTTTCAGGTGTCCACGCCACAAGAAAAGGGCTGGACTTCACCCATCTGTAGTCTGTGGCACAAGGAACGGCCTAAAGACAAGACACGGCCATGTCTCAACTCAACCCTCAACTACCGGCCTTCGCAGTCCCCCCTGCATTGGTTTGCTGCATGAAGGGCAAGAAGCGTAGCCTCAGCTTTCCAGAGAAGCCCAAAAACTCCGCTGGTCTATCTGCGTCGATTCGACTGGATCTCAATGGCATTCCTGTTCCAAAGGAGAACCTTGATGGGCCCCTTTTGTTCCAGTGAAGGGACCAATCTGCTGCACAACGGCCTCGCAAGCGAAACGATCAATCCAATAGGCTGCCTTCGAAAGGCAAAAGCCACCCCAACAGCATTCAAAGGGTCAACTGACCCCGTCCTAATACTCACAGTACCAAACCTGATGCATTGGACTTCGAATCTCCTTCACCTCCCAGAAAAGGATTTCCCAGCACCATCGTCTCAGCACCACGGCTGTCTCAGCTCCCCGGCAGCTTCACCAACTTCGTAAAGCGCCCCGCCCGAGCACCGAGCTTCGCCATCCGTGCCTCGAGACGTCATTCTGCCGTGTGGGAAGGAGTCGGAGGACAGTCATCCGGAGGATCCAAACTGTCCGGAAAACTGTTGTTCCATGCTCTTCGAATCAAAATCAGCAATAGAAGAGAGTGTTTCACAATAGTTGTCTCAGTGTCTCATCATCATATTGTTTTGAGTTTTTACCATCGTTGTTCCTTGACATGAAAAAGCCGTTAGCATGTTTCATCGCGTTGGCGCTTCGCGAAGCTTGCTGGACACGAGTGAAGCCATCTTCTGGGCTCCCTTCCAACCCTCAAGCCGTTGCTGGGGTCGCAAGCCGCTCTCATGATGGCGGTGTTGCTATCCAGGCCACTGGGAAGTGCATTGACCACCTGAGGCAATGCCAGTGCCGGTGGTGGCATGGCTGTGATGGGTATGACTGAGGAATGCCTGTGGAACCTGTGATGGAACCAATCTTTAAAAAACAACAAGTAGACACAGTCCAGATGTCAAGGACAACTATGCTGCTCATGTGCTAGAGACAGGGTGGCCTCTCAGTGATGTGAGTGATCACGATCGCCATGAACTGTTCTTGGATCCATAAATAAGGTCCTTCTCCGGCAATCAAATAATCTACAACTCTTCATTTGTACGCGTAATATATATATATATATATATGTATATTGTAAATATGTATATATATATATATGTGTTTTTAATAATGTGTATATATATATAACCATATATAGTTATATATATAGATATACATAGATATACCTTGTGAAACCCTCGTTCTAGTTCTCCCCCGCTCCCTCGGCTCATCTGGGCTCCCAAGCAAGTGAGTGGTCCAGCGGCACGGAAAGGATGCCCAATAAGTCCATCCAGAAGTAGAAAGAGCAAGAATACGTCCTCAACAGCGCGAGAAACCAAAAGCCGCGAGGACCAAACGGTGTCCACCCACAATCCACCATCCACCCGTTCTCACACGTTCCCGGTCGTTTCGGGAGGAGTGGGATGGGAGTTCCAAGTCATCCACTTGCCTCACAAAGCCGCTGCAAGGCGTTTGCTGTCCCCTTTTCCACCTCTCAGCACTCCCACTCTGTACCCTTCTTACACATCTTTACACACAAAGACTCTTGGTAGATTGACAGACTCTTGCAAATGGATCCTTTATAGATGGCCCAGCAGCTTAGCAGCTTGTTCACCTCTCAACAAGCCGCAAAGAGCACATGTTCCAAAGGCGGGAGAACACTCCAGAGGGCGAGGGCGAGCCCCCTCCTCCGGTAAGCCAAGAGCTGCACCCCGAATTCCAGGATGAAGGCCTAAGGGGAAAGGGTGCGTGCAAAAAGAAAACACACGAGCTCAGCCATGTTCTTTTCCGCTTTGTCACCTGCTTTAGCCTAGGAGCTGGCATGACACCCTGATCATCTCACAACAAAAGTTCACGAGATTCCTGCATCTCCCTGGCATTTTACACCCTGTGCAGCATGCTCTCGTTGGGTTCCCATGCCAAGATCAACACCGTGAGGATTGAGTCCAAGACCACGTCATTGTTCTGTGCGGCCGGAGCCGTGTCCAGCGTGAGACGATGCGGAGGGAAAGGATCGTGGAGAAGGAACATCGATTTGGTCATAGGTAGTGAATCAATCACCAAACCAAATCCAACTAAGATTCATGAACAATGGAGATTTCAAGCACCTATGATCTAAACCTTACGTTTCCAGACCCCATTTTGAGATCAGTGAATGAAGCTTTCTTTTTGCTTTCGGGTCATTGCCTGCCCCTCTTTTGAAGGTTGATCATCCCCTTCCTCTTTCCCCTTCATCGTCTCGGCTCCGCTTCTCTCGTCTTTGGCTCGTCTCCACCTTTTGAAGGGAAGGATTCTAATAGCTTCTTGTTACTACTAGTAAGGCACTTGTTACTAGAAGCGATGCACTTGTTCCTAGTAGCTTATCATGACCAAGATCTATCGCCAAGGCACGACATTGATGATGACAAAGACATCTGCTGCAAAAAGCCTCAGATGTTCTCGGTGACGTTTTTTGATTCTCCCTTTTGGCCGCCCAGATGCTGAAGAAAGAGGTTGGATTCCTCATGGGCGGACTACCTTTGGGGCATCGATGGAAAGGTGGCTTTGCGGAATTTCTGGTGTCTCCACCCGCAACCGCTCACCAACTTGTCAGAAGACTGACGGTGGTCCACATGTTCAAAAACAAGGACCTGTGGCTCCAGACCAGGTGTCCCTGAAAGCGTCTTTCAAACCAGAACATCAATGGATGTTGACATTCCACACCCACAGACCCACCCCCCGCACACAACGCGGTTCTTCCGCCGCGAAGGCATCTGCGAAGAATATTCGGGGGTCCCGGCGCGATGAAGAGGCATAAAAACATGAAGGCCTGCCCAGTGGTCCCCCACCATCGGCCACATCATAGCTGCTCTGCACATCTCCATGCCCAAATGGAGTTAGGGTGGACCTTCGGTGAGTGTGAAAGGGAGTGTGTGTTCGACCCAGTTGCAGAACCCCAGTTGCGGAATCCAACCAAATCGTTGCGGAATCCAGGTCCCAGTTCGATGGAATCCTGTGCAGTTCACGGAATCCGACTTGATCCACAAAGGAGTGGGGGAGAGAGACCTCAGATGTCCTAAGAGGTCCTCAGAGGTCGCCCCTTCGACCAGGAAAAAACCGTCGGCAGCTTGAAAGAGGTGGCCCATCTCTGCTAAGCTATGCAAAAAAAACGCACGCGCCTGAAAGATGGTCTTTTTGAAGACCTGAACCGGTGCGTTGTTTCACGATGAAAACTCTCAGCGGCCCAACTGGCACCATGCGAGTTCAGGGTCCACCACGGGCCCTATTTCACCCTATTTCACCCCCCTGTGTGGAAACCGCAAGCGTCTAGCTCACCTTCAGTTCTTTCATATAATATGTATAATATATATATATATGTATTTATTTATATTTATATTTATACATGTTTATATATATATATATATGTATATGTGTGTTTTGGTCTGACCAGTCGGGTGCAAGGTTCCTGCCCTTCCCCCAAGTCAGCCTCGCACCGCCTATTGGCCTATTGGCCGACCCAAAAATACGGAGGCTTCTTCCGATGCTGGGCACCCAGCCACGACCGGCTGAATAGAAGTGCTGAGGTTTTCCGGCTGAATCAGCATGCCGCATGCCGATTGAACCCCTCAATCAGCATGTTCCTCCAAGGTTCCGCTGACCAAATAGAAGGCCTCTCACTTGCTCAAGGGGAATCTCACGGGATCGATGCGTCTGTCTCACCGCCCAGTGGCGCTCCGAGCGAAGCTGGCTAAGGCAGCAAAGTACTCGGTGGCCTGGCATGGTCAGCTGCGGTCGGTGGAGTGGAGGCTAAGCTCCTTCTTGAAGATCTTGACGTGAGCAACCAAAATCAGGGAGATCATACACGCGATTGAACACCTCTCCTGATCACTCCATCCTCCCTGATCACTCCATCCTCCCAGTTGAATGGGATTTTCTGGACTTGGTGAATGGATGGTTGACTCTCCTCCCTCAGTGTCTGGAAAAGGAAGTTAGTGACTCAATAGGACCAAGGAAAAGAAAGAAGATCTTGCATACCCCCCTCGGCTGGCATGGAACAACGGCTGGCTAGAACGGCGACGTCTTTTTGCCAAGTTGGGTGGTTCAATTGAGACGAGACGGGACTTCCTTGGAGGATCACTCAACTCACCAGACTTACCATGTTGATCCATGTTTCTTGAGATTCACACAGCCCCAGAACGTGGAAATGACCCAGAACGAGACAACGGAATTCCTGCTCTGCAAATCAAGGCAGAGGCTGGTGGGTGACGGTCATTTCTCATCATTTCTTCGTCTCTGTGGAGCCGACCACAGCTCCTCGTCGTCTCCCACGGCTCCTCAACTCCCAGAATTCGACATCGCCTCTTCTTGCTGCACGACCTGGTGGCTGATCTCGCCCGATCTCCGAACAAATCAGCCGAAATCAACCCGAAAAACACATCTTTCGACTGATCCGGCCACATCTTCGCCTAGAATCAACGACCTGTGTCCCGTCCGCGGGATTCTTGAGACAAACAAATCTGGTGTGTTCGATGCTCTTCACAACAACATCCTTTGCACTCATAAGCCCCGCCAGCTCTCCATCTTGGTGAAAAAGATATCTTTGTCCATCACTCAAACCCACCTGAATCAAAAAAGCTATACCTTTATGTGCTTGTGACCATTCTGTTTCAGGTTTTCCGTGTTGTTTAAGGGTGGATGTTCCCTGAACTCAAGGATTTCAGAACTTTGGACCTCAAACGTCACACCTGGGCGTCTGAAAGCTCTCATATCAAACCAAACATCACAGGTGACCGACGACGAAGAAGACGATACCACCACAAGCACCATCACCACCGCCACAATAAAGCTAATGCAAGACTAGCTTTGAAATGGTCTTTCGGTGGCCCGAAAAGGAAGGTCCTTTACTTCAGTGAAGCAAAAGGGGACTTCTTTGGACTTCTAGGGCCTAGGGAGAATGATGCACAAAAGAGAAGGGGGACTCCCTGAAAGTTGACCAGGGATCTGACCACACGAGCGTGTGCTCTCCCAAAAGCGATTGCAACAGCACAACTGAGGCCACAGCTTTGCGTCCGTTCTGGGTTTCCTGCCAGGCTTGAAAAGAACAATCATTGTACAGTACACCAGGACAAAATCGTTGAAGGACTTTCCGGGTAGCTACCTGCGGTGTTTGCAATGGTCTCCATGGAGGATGACCCAATCTCATCGTCGCGATAGGTCTCCTTGTTCTCCGTCGGCTCGAGGAAGTTGTCCCTGTCAATGGCATCCTGCACCTCCTGCAGCCAGATCTTGAAATGTAGCTGATAGTAGATAGTTGCTCCTAGTAGCGATGCCCTTTGCTCCTAGTAGCGTCCTTGCTCCTAGTAGTAAGGCCAGGAGCCCCTAGTAGCTTCTTGTTCCTAGACCAGCATGGAAGAGCCCTTCCGGGATGTTTCGGTGAGGCAAGTCTACACAATTTGATCTTTTCCGGAGAGCGAGCCTAGCACATTTTAACAAAATGCAAGACAATGACGCAAACAGTTGGAGATTCGATAAATCTGAACACGAGTCAGCAAAAAACATTAACACACTTCACTCCGCTCGCAAGAAGGATGAACACCCTTCTGCGAGCTGCAGGGTTCTCTTTTCAAGGAAAGAATCATGAAGATTCCTTTGCTCTACCAACCCACGGGTGTCCAAAAAAGACAAGGGCTGTCAAAAGCTGGAGAAAAAGATATGAATCAATAAAACAGCTCTGGTGCGCCTCTTCCTCTTTGTTCTCCTCCATCATCCTGGTGCGAAACCACACATGGGTGGGACCATTCTTCAGGCCCACGCCGGCGGAGTCGAACTGTGAAGAGACCTACCTTGGAACCAAACTGATATTGTGGGTCATGGCACCAGGAACGTGGTGGACCAGGGCTCCAGGTTTTGACCATCCCCATGGCAAACCGAGACGTCTCAATCATCAGTCCTTGGAACAATTGGAGTGGATCTGATCCTCCAAATCTTTATATACAAACAAAAGAATTGTTTGAACTGCATGAGAAAGGAACTTCTAACTCACATCTAGAAATTCACCCAAGCCTGCAAATGGATGTGGTTCTCTCCCTCCCCCAAACCCCGAGCGCACCCCCCCCCCCCACCCACCCACCCCACCGCACCTGAGGTGTTGATGTTTCTGCCGGCGGAGGTCGCCAATGAAGTCGCGGATGGTGTCGATCACCTCCTGCGACGAGACTGACGAGACGTCCAGACCTTGAGACCTGGATGGCAAAATAGCTTCTTGTTACTACTAGTAAGGCACTTGTTACTACTAGCGTGGCACTTGTTACTACTAGCTTCTTGTTTCCAATAGCTTCTTGTTACTACTAGTAAGGCACTTGTTACTACTAGCGTGGCACTTGTT